ATATGGCATTACTATTAAGATAGAAGCTTCACTTATTGAAAATGTCTTTAATACCAGCCAATAGTTTGGCTTCCTTTAAGTCTGAGCCAAGGCGCTGAATTAAAAGTAATCACTTTAAAAAGTGTAGCAGCTGTTCCATTGTGCTCTCTGTTACTTAGAAACCCTAACCCACATTTTAGAGAGGAGGTAAGAAGCCACAGGAAGGTGGGATTGGCCATGTCAGTTATTCCACATATAAAAAATAGCTGAAGGTGTGTGAATCACTGAAAGATGTGTTACCTATTCCTGAATTGATCATCACTGTTAAATGATCATTCTCAATTACACCACGAGCTTGGATTTGCTTATATTATTGATTAAATCACAGATAAGTCCTACCCCAGGCCAAGGGTGCATTTAAGTTTATTTATATATTTGCTTTTATTTGGTGTGCATTGGTGTCTTGCCTGCATGTGTGTCTATGTGAGAGCGTCAGATCTCCTGGAACTGGAGTTACAGACAGTTGTGAGCTGCCATGTGGGTGCTGGGCCCCTCCACATTTTAATCTGGAACACAGGATTATATTTAAAATTTTGAAATTTTTACTTTATTTTATGTGTATGGATATTTTGCCTTTGGGTAGGTATGTATACCACATGCACTCCTGATGTCCAGTGAGGCCAAAAGAGGGCATCAGGATCCCTGGAACTGGAATTACAGATGGTTGTGAGTCACCATGTGGATGCTGAGAATTGAACCTGAGTCCTTTGGAAGATCAGTCATCTCTTTAAATTAACTCTTAACAACTGAACCACCTCTCCAGCCCCAAATGCCTGCATTTAAACAATACACTGTGGTGAGGAAGTGTGTCCTAACAGAAATGCATGACAGAAAAGAACTGCTCAGCCATGGCTGGGAAAAGACATTCTAAACAGTTCTCAACCTGTGGGTCGTGACCCCTTTGTGGATCCAATGACCCTTTCACAGTGGTCACGTAGGACTATCAGAAGACACAGATGTTTACATTATGATTCATTGACAGTAGCAAAATTACAGTTATGAAGTAGCAATGAAAGTAATTTTACGGTTGGGGGTCACTACAACATGAGGCACTGTATTAAAGGGTCACAGCATTAGGAAGGTGGGAACCGCTACTCTAAAGGCTTTCTTGGGGGCCAAATATTATAGACAATAAGTGCAAATTGTTAGATCCTGCAAGTGCTGCCTCACAAGGCAACAGGGGGCTTACAAATGTGATTAACAATATGAGATATCCTGAATCACACATCTGGGCATGATACTTAATCACAAATGTCCTGATAAGAAAGAAACTGTGACAACTATTCTTAGTTGTCAAGTTGACTACATCTGAAATAACCAAAACCTAAGCCACTGGGCATACCTAGGAGGGATTTTTTTTCTTGATTGAAAAAAAGAAATTAGGAAAAACCCACCCTAAATCTGGATCTTCTAGGGTAGGAAGATCCATCTTAAATCTGGACCATGCCCGTTGGTGGCAGCCTAGATAAAGGTCATTCATAGAAGAAGGAAGCTGGCTCTCTTTGCCTGCTTGCTCTCACTCTCACTGGTAAGTTTATTCCGTCACTGACATTACAGCCTACTTTTGGGGGATTCTGGCATATCCTGAAGAGCAGCTGAGACATTCAACCTTGTGGACTGAATAACTGCTGGATTCTCAAACTCCCCATCAGTAAGCTTTGTTGGATTAGCTGGACCACAGCCTGGGAGCTACTCTAACAAAGTGTGTGTGTGTGTGTGTGTGTGTGTGTGTGTGTGTGTGTGTGTATGTATGTATGTATGTATGTATGTATGTGTATGATATACACATATATAGTCATTCTATCAGTTCTGTATCTATGTATATATACATTCTACCAGTTTATATGTATGTATAAATGGAAGAATGAAACTTGATCTCACTCTCACTGGCAAGTTTATTCCTTCACTGACATTAGAGGCCTGTGTGTGTGTGTGTGTGTGTGTGTGTGTGTGTGTGTGTGTGCGCACGCGTGCGCGAGCACACACACGCACGTGCGTACATATATCTATCTATCTAGATATAGTCATTCTATCAGTGACATTCTATCAGTTTTGTTTTTCTAGAAAATCCTGACTGACACACAGAGTCAAAGGGAACTTTGACAGAGCTAGGAGAGAAGAAAGCAGGGATACAGAGGAGAAATCACTGTGACTGCAAAGACAATGGTGGGCCATAAGCCAAGGAATGCAGACAGCTGTCAAAAGCTGAGGAATGCAGGCAACTACTAGAAGCTAGAAGAGACTCAGGAAGGCTCTTCTAGAGTCTTCAAAGATTTTAGACTTGAGGATTCTGACGATTGACATTAACATTGAACTTCTGGCCTCCCAAACCAGTTTTTCTTGTTTTCAATGGCCAAGGTTGCAGTACTTTGCTCTATTGGACTTAGGAAACAAACACAGAACCACTGTCCAGATTTTGCTATCCTTTCTTCAGCTCCATGAAATTGACTATTTTAAAATGCATAGATTCAGAAAAACTTAAGATTTATCTGTTAAATTTCTTTTTTCAGTGGCTGCAGAGATTGGTTGGTATCCGAGAGTACTTAATGTTCTTGCAGAGGACCCAAGTTCAGTTCCTAGTGCCCATGTCAGACAGTGCTGACTGTTCCAGGGGTTCCTATACATTCTCCTGGCCTCCACGCACACATACATGACATATACTACACTCTGGCCTCCACGCACACATACATGACATATACAGGCAGACACAGACACACACAGACACACACACACACACACACACGCACACACACATACACACACACACGCACGCAGGCACGCACACACACACCCTTAAAAATTTCTCAGAGCAGAGGATTGCTAAACTGTTAGTGTTTCCAGTAACTTTCCTACATGGATATTTGTCCTCTGGAAATCAACAAGTTGAAAAACAAAATGTTTCAGTGGAGTAGATATTAATTCATGTAAGAACAAAACATCATCACAGACAGGTCATCATCTGCCTGAACAATGAAAAGCTTACTTTGTGTTTATTTAAAGATCAAAGCCTGGAAATCCACAGCTAAAGAGAGCTTTTTTGCTTATGTTTTTGTTTTGTTTTGTTTTTTTTTTCTTTGCAGAAAGAACACAAGAGCTTGCCTGCCGGGAAGTATGTTTACTTCCCAACCTCACGAATCTTCTTCCCTCCTTCAATTTTTCTTCTGTGGCTTTTCTGCAACCAGCAGAGGAAACACAGACCGTTATGGGACTCTTTCCAAATCACTCCAGTTTCCAAAGCTTCAGTAAGATTTGCCAAGGCATCACAAGTGGATTTCCGATGTGCTCCTTGTGTTTGGTTTGTGAATCCAAAGGAGACGTGGATCTCATTTCTCAGGAACAAACACCAAAAGGTAAACACAAAAGAATAGAGTAACATTTGCCAAGCCCAAATTAAGTCATTCTGAAAAAAAGCATCCCAGGGCTGGAGAGCTAGCACAGTTGGTAAAGAACTTATTGCCCTACCATGCAAAGATCTGGGTTTGAACACCAGAACCCACAGAAAAAGTAGGCACAAGGCTGGGCAGTGGTGGCACACCCCGGACGCAGAGGCAGACACAGGCAGATCTCTGTGAGTTTGAGGCTAGCCTGGTCTACCCAGTGAGTTCCAGGACAGCCAGGGATACACAGAAAAACCCTGTCTCCAAAACCCAAAAACAAAACAAAACAACAACAACAACAAAAGTCGTCACAGAGGCTGGAGGCTGGAGAGAGCTCAGCAATTGAGGCTTTTCAGAGGACCAGCATCCACATGGAACATCTTGCAAATACCTATAACTCTGGGGGATCTGATACACTCTTCTGGCTTCTGAGGCACTGCACTTATGTGTACATATGTGCAAGAGATGCATAATAAATATTAAAGTAATATTAAAGAAAAATAAAGAAAACACTGGCATGCTGGAGATCCTGCTTCTAATCCCAGAGATGCTGAGGAAGAAGGCAGAGACAGGCAGATCTCTTGAAGCTCACTGGCCAGACAGCCGAGGGTACTTGGTGAAGTTCTAGGTCAAAGAAAGACCCTGCCTCAGACAGAAGGCAAAAGGCACCTGAGGGAACAACACCCAAGGTTGTCTTCTGACTTCATAACCATGTGCATGCCTGAATATACTGTGCCCCACGCCCCATGCAAGCATTCTGTTTTAGCATCAAGTGGCACTGGAACACTCAGTGATTTGACTTTTGATGAGAGATTTCACAGGGCTTTGTGATGTTGATCAATTTTACTTTAATTTATTGAAGACAAAATACTTGTTCATAAAATCTGTCAGAATGCCAGTGTAATTCATATGTACTTGCTAGCTAAAATGTTAGCTGGATGTTCTTTTCAAAGGTAGTGATTATTTAAAAAGCAATTCTAAGTAAGTACTTAGCGTTCACCCACTCACTGAGTATGAGTTGTCATTTTGTCTGGTTCTTCAGTGGCCCTCTTGAGGGCAATGTCTTTGTCTTTGTTTACTATCATATTCCTCCTTTCAGCATCATTACCGATGTAAATCATAATAGATACTCAATAAATATTTGTTGAGTGAAGGAAGAAACAAACAAAAGAATATCTATATATTCCCTGCAGTGCCTAATGGAGCATTGAATGTCATCATGGCTTCCACTACTAAACTGATGTAAACCTAGTTATGTGGGAAGAGGGAACCTCAACTAAATAATGGCTCAGATCAGAATGGCCTGTGGTCGAATCTGTGTGCCACCGTGGGTGGTATAGTCCCTATTTGGGTAACTGAGCAAGCCAGGGGTCCCCAGCCAGTAAGCAATATTCCTCCATGGTCTCTGCTTCAGTGTTTGCCTCCAGGTCCTGGCTTTGAGCTCCAGCCTTGGCTTCCTCCAGTGACAGACTGTAAGTTAAGTAAACCCAAGTGTAACTGGAGGTTTTTGTTGTTGTTGTTCCGCCAGGTCCTGATGCCCTTTCAGTCCCAAATAAGCAAACAGATGCTATATTAATCATAAAACTGTTGGTCACTGGCTAGGGCTTCTTATTGGCTAGCTCTGTGCTAATTATTTTTGGTTGTGAGCCTAGCCTTTAATGGTGCAGCCATCTCTCTAGCCTGCTCTGTGTTAATTAATAACCCATTTCTATTAATCATATATTTCCATGTGGTCTTGACTTACCAGAGAATGCCTGGATTTGTTATTCCTTTGTGGTCTACATGGCATCTCTTCTCATTGTGCCTTTCCCCACCTCCCTCTTCCAGAATTCTCCTCGGTCTCCTAGTCCTGCCTTTCTTCCTGCCTCTATTGGCCAAACTGTTTTATTCATCGACCAATAAGAGAAACACTTATACAGAAGGACATCCCCCATCACCCAAGTTGTTTTTGGTCATAGAGTTTAATCACAACAATAGAAAACAAAAAGAACAAGTATATATGATATATGATATAGTTAATTGAACTGAATCAACCTGATCACCGAGAAATAAGCAATTTATTCACAATTGTAAAACATGCTGGTGGCTTCAAACATCACTATCAGATCACCACCATTGTCGTCATCATCATCATCTCCTGTTCACCGAAGAGCTCCTGTGTCACTAGTTACAGAACTTTTTTCATTCTTTAAGAATAGTAATAACATTTCCTGGCCTTGGCTTTGGGCAAAATTTGTATTTCTGTAGTCTTATAATCATCCTAAGATTCTGCCCTGAATTTACAGAAAACAAGTTGGGTCAGTACCTCTTCAATGATGGAAGAATAGCAAGCATTTTAAAAGCAGGTGGCTGGTAGACATCGCTACTCTGCTGCCTCAAACATAAGTGAGCAGGGCTTTGAAATGTGTCACAGTCATTCTGACTGTGTAACAAATCAGCCCGTGGAGAGTGGCTTGGAATGCAGTAACCCCCTTTTCCTTTCTCTCTTCTTTTCCTTTCCCTTCCTCTTTGTCTGCCTTTCTTCATCTTTGTTTTCCCTCCCCTCTCCTGGCCCCCCCTCTCCCTCCTTTCCTCAAGTTCCTTCTGGATCAGAAATTCAGGATGGGTAACAGATAGACTTTTCAGGCTTGGAGCAGTTCATACTGTTGCAGTTAGTGAGTAGATGCAACAACCCAGGGGAACCAGGGCAGCTGGGGACAGCTGAGGTCTCTCTTTTCACACAGTCACCTGGGAAGAATGATCTTTTCCTTTTTTAAAAAAATATTTATTTATTTTTATTTTTTGTGTGTAAGAGCTTTGCTTTTATCTGTGTACCATGTGCATGTAATGCCCACCAAGACAAGAAGAGGGCATTGGATCTCCTGGGACTTGAGTTACAGAGGGAGTGAGCAATCAAGTAGGTGCTGGGAATTGAACCTGGGTCCTCTGGAAGAGCAGTAAGTGCTCTTAACTGCTGAGCCATCTCTCCAGACTCCATTTTTCCTTTATGCATTTGTCTTAGGGGACATTCAGGTGGTTTCCCTATTTTAGTTATTGTGGCCGTGGGAATGCAAATATGTCTTCATGATCCCAATTTCAGGTCTTTTGGATACATGCCAGATAGTGAGCTTGCTGGAGTGAACGGTGTTTACATTGTTCTCTTTTGGAGGAACTTATTTACTATTTCCCATATCTGACTGTGGTGCTAACTTGTGTTTCTATGGTGATGAATGATGCTGAACATGTTTCCATATACCCATTGGACATCTGTATATCTTTTATGGATGTAGACCTTTTAACAGATATAACTATCTGTTCAAGTCCTTTGCACATGTTTGTTTGTTTAGACACATGGTTTTCTTATGTTAATGATGGTGGGCTTGAACTTCTGGTATCCAGTCCTCCCAAGTAGCTGAGACAGCAGGCATTACCACTGTACCTGACATCTGCCCATTTTAAAACTGGTTGTCTGTTTTTCTCATTGTTGCTCCTTCCTTGACAGGAATTCCTTACATATCCTGGATATTAACTTTTCTCAGTTCTAGTCTGTGAATATTTTCTCCCATTCTTTGGACTGCCTTTTCACCCTGTTGATTGTTTCTTTTATACTGCCTTTCTGTTAGCATTCATCTAGGACTTCCTTGCAGCAAGGTAGCCAGAAATTGGCTTTTCATAGTGATTTGAGACTCTGGTCTTTTCATTCCAAAGGACAAAGTGGAATTGTGCCACTTTTTCCTGCTTGGTCATGTAATGTTATTTCTTCCACATTTGACTATGTTAAAATTGGGTCTGTGGTCTTGAGAAAATGACCACACAATCCAAAGTATTTCAGGAAGGCAAAAAGATTTGCTTCTGCGGAGTGGCGTGTAGCCAGCCATAAGCAAGCAAGCAAGTATGCCCTGCAGGTATCCCACTGGACTTTTATTTCTAACTCAAAGGGTCCTGGGCCTCACTCTGAGTGGCCAGAACTCAGCCTCACATTGTTATGCTTCTGGCTAATGTAGGCGATGCAGTTGATAAACGGAGAACAGGATGCAACACAGAGCACATGCTTTGATCTTAAAAAACTGCTGACTGGGGACAGATTTTTGGCAGGTGGTGTCTTTACAGAGTTCTTTAAAGACACAGCTAACTGTGTCTCATTTAAACCTTTTATACAAAAGACAATGTGTTTGGTTTACATCCCCACAACTTAGAAGCCAATGTAACTCTCCAGGACACTATGGGGAGGGAATTAAGTTCCCCCTATTTGGGGGAGGTTGGTAAAGTTTTGGGATAACTGAATTGTGTCCTCTCGAATTTTAATGTGTTGAAGTATTAGCCATCAACACCTAAGAATGAGATGTTGTGTGGAATAAGATCACGATAGAGATAATGTTGTTAAGATGAGGTCACCAGCCTGGAACCTGATCTAGTGTGACTGATGTCCTTGTAAAAAGGAGACATGTGGGTTAGCTGGCACTCATCCTTTAAGTACTTGGCAGGCAAGTGTGAGGATCCAAGTTAGATCCCCAGAACCAGAGAGAAAAGTTGTGTGTGTGAGACACACCCCTGTAATCCCAGCAATGGTCAGGTGGAGAGAGGATCCCTGGGTATGATGGCCAGCCAGTTTAGCCAATCAGCAAGCCCCAGGTTCCAATGAGAAACAATGTCTCATCAGAACAAAGTTTCTACAGAAGAACATGGTTGGCTTCTCCTTCTACATGTGCAAGCACACATGCACTCCTGACCACACATACCAGTTTACCTGTGCACGCACCATGCAGATATGTGGAGACAGAGAAACACACACAGGGAAAGTACCACATGAAGATGAAGGAAGAGAACAAGGTTGTGCTTCTGTGAGCCAATGAAAGCCAGGGATTGCTAGCAGTCACCAGAAGAGAGGAACAAAAGTAGATCATTCTCCACAATCCTGCAGGGTCCAAGCCTGCCAGCACTTTCGTCTTTTACTTCCAGCCTTTAGAACTAGGAGATAGAGACAGGGGCTGGAAAGATGGCTCAGCAGGTAAGAGCACCAGCTACTCTTCCAGAGGATGGAGATTCAATTCCCAGCACCCACACTGATGCTCAACCAATTGCAACTCCAGACCCAGGGGATCCAATGCCGCCTTCTAGCTTCCATGGGCACCAGGTGCACTATACATCACACACACACACACACACACACACACACACACACACACACGTAAAAACATCCATGCACATAAAAATTTTTAAAAAGAAAAAGAAGTATGAGAAAATTTAGTTACTCAGTTTATATACTTTGTTGTATTTCTAGAAAGCTTGGGCAATGTGGAATGGAAAACATTGTGAACATTTTAAAAAATTTGATCTGTCCCACAAATCTGTGTGTTCTCTGAAAGGTTACAATACTATTTTACCCCGATGGTTTTCATGATTTAAAAATTCACCTTGATAATTATTTGCAATGCCCATAGCTTCATTTTTTTATTTTATAGAAAAGAATAGATTTAGGGCTTTGCTTGGTTATAACTTTTCTTGAGACAGGGTCTTACTGTGTACCTCTGTGAGGCCTGGTACTGACGATGTAACATTCACTGTCCTCAAAGCTGTAACAGTCCTACCTCAGCATCCTCAGGATTACAGGCATGTACCATCACAGCCAGTGAGACTTAGCTTGGATTGCATTTCCTTGTTAGATACTGCCACTCTGCAAATAACCTGTCTTAACTTCTTTCTAGGTCTTATCACGAGGGGATCAATGGAAGTGAAGGCAAATGACTTTTACTCACCCTGTCAGCATTTTAATGTCACGGTCGCTCTTCTAGTTGACCCTATGAAGGAATACAACACTACCTGTACCCCTGAATACCACCCTGGAAAATCTACAACTGTAGAAGAAGAGCCAAGCAGGGAAAATTCTCTAAACCATACTTGCGGGATTGTGGGAAACATGAGTAATTGTACTCATGTCTTCTTGCACCTAGCAATGGATGTGAAATGTAAGTTTGAAATGAAATGAGAGGAAAAAGGAGAAGTTGGGTATACACACTTAAAATTAAGAAAGGGCTGTGAAATCCACCAGAAATCAAATGGCTGAAGAATTTCATTGCTGAAATAATACTGCCCCAAAGAGTATTAATCTTTTTACCTGCTTTCTTTCAAAGTGTGTTTTTAAAAAATATTTATTTATTTATTTTATGAACATCAGTGTTTTACATGTCTGTATGTCTGTGTGAGGGTGTTGGATCATCAGGAACTGGAGTTCCAGACAGTTGTGAGTTGCTACGTGGGTGCTCGGAATTGAACCCAAGTCCTCTGGAAGAGCAGCCAGTTCTCTTAGCCACTGAGCCATCTCTCCAGCCTCCTTAGAGTGTGTTTTGATGGGACTCAGTCATAACCTGAGACAGAGGCGGTATGTGTGGGTTGTGATCTGAGGGACACTAGAAAGGTCCTCTGTCCTAGGATAACTACAACACACCTGGTGTCTGTACTTGATGGAAAGCCAACACACCTCAGTACTCAGAGCTGGGAGTTCTTTTAAAAGGCAAATATCCATGCATGATACACTATTAAAGCTGCCTTCGAGCCAGGTTAACACATCCTCTCAGAGCTGACACAGCCTGGGGGAGAGGAGTTTTTGGATGTGATGCTGTGCAGATTAGGCTCTTGGAGGGCGACTGGCTGATTCTGAGGGGAAAGACATTTAAATTCTGTTCAAGGCTGATTAGATTCCTTGCATCCTGTTCTGAACCGCATAGTTAATGTTTTCTAGTAAGCAGCGTGTCCCCACCTCACCCATAAAATCTATTATTAGAAAGCATTTTATGACATTCATTTAGTGAGTACCTTCTATATGTCAAGTACCATGACCAGATGGGGGCCCAGAGTCAGACGACCATAAAACCAGAGAAAAGAATCACACAGAAACAAGGGTCTCCCCCCTACACCCCGAGTGGCAGGTGCTACCACAGAACTGTTTGCTAGGCATTTTGGTGCTCCAAAAAAGATGGAAGCCTTCCCTATCGCTTTTGCTTTTCTAAAGTTTAATCATCTTAAAGGCAATTAATATTTTAAAATTCTGTTTTTAGCAAACATAGACATGTATAAGGTGTAATCTCCTCAAATGACACAATCAGCTGGGGACCAAGTGTTCAGTCACAAGCGTCTCTGGGAACCATCCAAGCTGTAACACTGGCAGAAACTGATCTGATCACTCATCTCCCTGGCCATTCATCGGCTTAGCCCAGTCCTCTGTCTCTCTCTGCCTTCCGTTGCTGTCCCATGTCCTTTGCTCCTGCTGCACCTTTGTTAATTTGAGGGCATATTTGGGGGCTGCATGGCCCATGGCCATGATGATTAATCACACACAGCTCTGATGCTAAGGCTACTTTGTAGCACTCTGGATGTACAATAAGAAAATTGATATTGGCATCACCTGGAAGTGAAATTAAATGCCAGGATTTTGAATTAAATGGATCCCTGGGAGCCACTTGGCCAATTTCCTCATTTAGTAGCTTCATTTAATATATTGGAAAAGTGTACAGGAGACCAAGTGTCCCTGTTACAGTTAAGGCAGCAAGTAGCTTTTCTGTTAAAGGCACATACCACCACTTTGTCTCTTATCTAATGCTTTTTCTCATTGTGTTGAACGGTTGTCAAGTGCCTATGTCTGCCACATTTATTGATTTTATAGTTCCTATTTTTTTTAAATTTTTACAGCTGTCACTTGTTCCGTGAAGATCACTTGGTACATTTTAGTGCTATTAGTTTTTATGCTCAGTATCATCCTCATTATCCACAAAATACTTGAAGACCACAGGAGAATGCAGAGGTGGCAGAGTAAGTACTGAGAAATAAACCCATTGTCGTATGTATGGCTTTGCCCAGGGAAACATGTACAAACACCTGTTTGCCCTAGTTCTGTTGGCCACTTACTGTGTACCTACTGTGTGTAAATGATGGTTCTGAAAGTATAGGGGAGACAGCAGCACCAGCATTCACCGGCCTTTCTCTACATGGTCAGGCAAATGGAGAAGGGCAGGGTGAACAGGAGGAGTTGTCAGGACGGTGGCTGGGAGGCCTACTGGAAGTGCGGATAGAGAGAGGCGGAAGATGACACTTGCAGAATTAGAGACCCTGAGGAGAGTGGCCTCTAAGTAACAATCTGAGTGTAAACAATCCTTAGTAAGTATAGGGGGTGTTGGTAGAGTTTGGGTGGGACAGAACTAAAAGGAGTCTTTGAAGAGCAGGGTGGTTAAACAGCTTTAACAATTGCTATGACCTGGCATTCTATCAGAATGGATTGTAAATGTACGTGGGCATATACCAGCTGGCTGCATATCAGACTTGATGGACAGTTCTTCTACAACCAGTTGATCTCTTAAAGACAGTATAAAAAGCATCATCATGATAATAGGCTCTGAAGACATATTGACTCAAGTTAGATACTCATATTGCCATCTATAGCTTTGAGTGAGTTACCATCACTAAGCATGGCTTTCTCCAACTGTCCTATGGGGTACTTGCCTCTGCCCCATGGAAATCACCCAAGGAGTTGAATAGTGTCGGGGCACAGTTAATTCTCCCCTCCCCCATCTCTTTTTTAAAGATGGGTTTCTTTCTGTAATAGCCCTGGCTCTCTTGGAACTCACTTTGTAGACCAGGCTGGCCTCACAGAGATCCACCTGTCTCTGCCTGCTGAGTGCTGGGAATAAAAGGATGT